TTTTTAAATCAATTCTAATTTGTAAAGATTGTAATTTATGGGAGAAAATGAATGAAGAAATAATAAAATTGATTGTAGAAATTGGATTAACATAAGATTTTAGCATTTTAACAATAAATAAATAATAATAATTAAATTTTTTCTTTTATACCAAAAATATGAAAAACATTTGACATTTGATTATTAAAAAATATCTCTATAAAACACTTAATGGGTGTATTACACATAGACATAACTTATTAGTCAATGATATTATAAATTTAAAATTATTTATTGATACCATAAATAATTTCAAATCTATTATTTATAATATAAGAAAAGGTCATATACCTATCAAATATATTTCTTTAAAAGAGAAAAATTATATTAATTTTACTTTTTTTAATTAGTATTTAGTTATTATAAAATGGACTTCAATAGTTTTTTTATATTTTTAAATTATTTTTGTTAAGTAGGTGATTAGATATTAAAAAGTCAAGTAATGTGTCATATATTAATATTATAAAATATTATAATAATAATCATTTTTATAATTTTATTATAAGTTTATTTAATATTAAATGTAGTACTGAATAATAGATACTTAATCATTTTAAATTGAGGAATAATTTTAAATTTAATTTATTTTTTTAATTTTCTGGTTATGATTTTACGAACAACCCATCATAAATTTATTACATAGCTTGTATACTGAGAAACACTGGTGCATTATGTATTTGTGGATAATACATTTATATGACTATTTTCTTTTAAATGTCTATTGTTGTAACTTCAAGTTTTAAATTTAAAATAAATAATAGATTTTTTTATAGAGATTACATGCAATTTTAGAGCCCTATTTATATTTTAGTAATTCAACATTTCTGAAATAATCACTTCTATAGTCATCTACCCAAGTGAATATGTATCATCCATGCTTAGGTTGGTTTAATATATCGATTAACACAATAATATTATAATAAATAGGGCTCTCGGAAGTTGTAGGAGTTGCATATTATTCTATATGTTCTCGATATATAGCAGACTAAGTTAGAAATCCAAACTATATGATAGTAAGTTTAAAAATTGATTATTTGAAATATATATTTTGAATAATTCGTCAACTCTAGGAAAAAAGTGTGTACTTTATTGACATTTATATGCATACTAAATATATTTAATATATATTTTTTTAATATTAATATTATTTTTCTTTACCTATGTATTTTAAATAATTTTTAAAACATAATATTATTTTATATAGGTTTTTATTGTTATTGCCATAGTCAAATATAAATTTTACTGCATTGCATGTGCATTTAATCTGTATTGTGCTAATACAAGTATACCAAATATTGCTTATTGCCGATAAGGTATCGATCTAACTTATCGTAAATTTATTTATTGTTTATTTGTTGGTAAATTTGTTTTTCGCGATTGACATAAAATTTTTTTTTTCTATTTAAAAAGTGTTTTTTTTTACTATTATTTAAAGTTTTCCTGACATAGTCATCTAAACTTAAAGTTAACAAAATACAACTTTTTTTTTGACATTTAGAAAATGGGTAATATAAATATTTAGAAGTCTGTAGAGAATGATGCTATACATTATTTTACAATAGTCTATGTTCTAATTATAATTAGTGATATAATATACGTTTAGGATTTAATTACACTTGATAAGATAAAAGAAAAACAATTTAAAGTAGAAAATCATGTGGACGTTAGTGCTTGAGATGGTGTACAGAAGGTGAGACAAATGATGTTAAATATTAACTATAAAATTAATTTTCCATATTTTTACATTAGTTTTTGTACATTTTATTAAGAACATAAGATGTGTTTTTTTTTTTTGAAATGTTAACTAATTTTTTTCATGTGTATTTTATAATTTTTCGGCGCATATTTTACTTATTTTAGTTTCTATAATTTTCGAGCCCCAATCATAAGGAAAGGTACTTACACTAGTTTTACGACGTTTTAAGTTTAACATGGTTTTAGGTTCAACAACGATCGACAATCTTTGATGAAATGATTCAATAACCAATTATCAAATTGTTTTTTTGTCCAAATTATCTCTAGGTTAACAACTGGTAATGATAAATTGAATCGATTCGAAAACTGACGATTTTGTAATACAACAGTTAGCCGTTTACGGTTGTGACGGACAAGCGATTAAAACAAATAAAAATAAAACATTGTAAAATATATTACACTTTATAGTAGAATATTACACTTATACACTGATAGTATTGAAAGTGTTCCGTTAAGCCTGGTTTTTACCAGTTTACACTGAATTCAAAAAATGATGACCGTACACATTTGATGGTTGTAAATAATTATCTTGGAAGAATAATTCGACCGAAATAAACAATGAACCATATGATCAGTTGTCAAATTAGCTGTCGAATTTAATTATAGTACCTATTTTATTTAAATTTTTATTTTTTATTGAATATTAATTATTGATAGATAGAACTTATTCATAAAAAAATTTAAAATATTATAAAAATCATTGTTACTATTCAGTACTCACATAAAATACATTTATTCAAATAGACGTTATCAGAGACAAAGGGGGCAATCGCTGGCCAGGAAATTTTAAATCGTGTAACGGTGGCTCCTAAATATGCCGACTTCCTACACTTCTGTCATTCAACCATTTATTTATTTATTAATTTGAGACAAATTTTAAAATTGTAATTTGGCGATACAATTATTGCAGGTTTAACTTTTTTACAATAATCTATGGATTAATATTAATATATAGAATAATATTATTTTATAATATAAATATATTGACCATCAGTTTGGAAGGACGAAACTCAGCAAGTAGTGTAATGTAAACAACAGTCGGAAATAGATATATTTAGGAGCCTTGACATGATTTAAGATTTCACCTCCTAGCCCTTAATCATATTAATAAAAAATGATGTATAGTTTTGGAATGGTGTGTATTGGTACGAAGATATCGCACAAAATATTGATCTACTATTTCGCCAACTATGTCTTAAATACTTATGAAGTTATAACTCATAAACTATTTTTTCGAATCTCAATTTTTATATATTGAAATATTCCGAAAAATATTTTGTTTCAAAATTGAAATTAAAAATTTATATGGTCATTAAAATGAATTAAAAAATGATAAAAATATATTTTTTTTATTTTGACTGGTAATAATATAATAAAATATTTTCAAAAACGTTAATAGATTTTGAAATGATAAGAGGTTGTCGATAAAAGAATCATTCAATATTTCAGTGTAATAGTAAGCCATTATTAATTTACTAATATGATTATAAAAATGATAATTGAGACTTAGAGTCCAAAAATTGTGCAGTAATATTGCTAAGGATTTTTAAAATTTTTTTTAAATTATATAAATTGAATAGGATGGGCAAAGTATTACACTATTATTGATAACGATAAGCAATACGCTTGTAATATTCGTTATAATATGAATTAATATAATTTCATATTTTTATAATACACATTCGTGTTGTTTGATATAATTCTTAAGTTATCTTCTTAAATCTTGGACATTATAAAAGTACCTACTACTTACATAATATATTAATTAATAGCCCTTATAAAATGTTTGTTACTTCAAACAATAAATTTATTTATTACTTGAAACCTTATTTCAAAAACCAATTAACTATTTTTATTACCTGTAAATTATAAAATTTTTACCATTTGAATTATGTCCAGTTTTGAAATTTTAATTTGACTAACAATAACTTTTTATTATTCAACTTATTAATCTTAAAATTATTTCTGTCAGTAAAGTTTCTTTTCTCATTAGTATTATATTTGCCACAACTATTTCAATTGTATTGTTATTGTTATTATACATATAATAGATATTTTATAATATTATTCTTATTATTATTAACTTAACCATTATTATATGATAATTAATTAACAATAATAGCATTTTGTTTTAGGTTTAACGTTTCTATTTCTGCTTTAAAAGCATCAATATTTTGAGTACTAGGATGTTGCTTTCACAAATTCTAATAATTATTATGTAAATCAGAAAATATATTATTGTTAATATTATTTATTAACACAACTGGATTGTGAAATCAGTTATTTGAAAACAACATCACACTAATTTTTTTTTGATTCCGTCTCATATAGGTTTAATTTATAAATGCCAATAACTTAAAATCTGCTAAAAATTGCGAGACAGTTTCTATTAATTTTAATTTTTGATTTGTTTATTTTACTTTGATTATTTTGGTCATTCCTGTCGAAATAAAATGTTACTAGAGTGCTAATTCTAATAATTAACTTCACGATGATGTTTTGTTATTTCTTATTTGTAATGACATTTTTATAAAATGTCTGCACTATTTTGAAATTAATATGGAGGTGGAAGGTACATTGCTTTTTTATCATCAGACCACTAATTAACCTCAAACATATTAAACAAATAAAATAGCAATTATAATTGAAAATATAAATGTAGGTAACATAAGAAATGTTTAATAAAGTAATAACTTATGATATGTATCTAAGGAGACCACGACGACACAATGTTTGGCGTATAAATCACAATGTTTAGTGTCAGTAGATTGTAGAACTGCGAAGCTTACAGTCTCCGTCTTGAAAATAATATTCTTTACATAGCCTTTTAATTACTGTGTTCAAGCTAAGATAATTTATTTTTATAATTAACCACTTATTTGAAAAACTAATGACATACAATTAAATAATATACAAGTAATAAACGCTACTGCAATACATTTTTTTTTTTTTTGTTTTTTTTTTTTAATCAAATTATTTTCAACAAATAAAATTTATTTACATAAATAAAATACATTACAAGCTTATCATATCTTTAGCTTAGATGTTAAATAAAATGGTATTTTTTTAAATTAAATTTAAATTATTCGATCTGAAAAAAAATTCTTTTAATGTTATTTTATAATTTTATTATTAGTTTTTGGACAGAAAAATGATAATTATATGTACGTGAATAAAATATAGGTAAATAGTTACAGCTAGAATAAAACAGCAGTTTGCTTGGACAATTAAGTATAATAATGTTTAATCATCACAGACAGGAGGACATTCTGGTAATAGTGTTTCTGTAAAATAAAATATATAATACATATGTTAATTGCTAAAAAATGTAATTGTGTTAAACCTTGAAATAATAACTATATTTTTAGTAAAAACCAGAATAATAATAGTTAAAATGTAAAATAAATGTATAAAATATATTAATAAATAAATATATTTTGTAATACCATACACATTTATAGTTATTCATTTTATAGTATTTGTATAATAAAATTCAGAGATAAATTGTGTAAAAGTTTGATTTTATAAATTTCACACCAACAAACATAAATTTTAAATCATTTCATATTGTTTATAAAACTTACGCAAACCAAATTGAAATGCATAAGAGTTTTAATGTTTTTGAAAAGAATATTTACCATAAACAGTAATTGTTATTTCAGTAGTTCCTAATATATTTGATGCTTTGCAGATGTAATCACCATATTGATGGTTTTCAATTGTGATAATTTGTAGAGTAGTGTCTGTTATTTCGTAAGTAGTAGCAGTTAATGATATACTAAATGTTTAAAAAAAACCACATTAAATTTTAATCAAACAATAAAAACAATTAAGAGTGTACCTGTAATGATGATTATTGAATAATTCTACTCCATTTTTTAACCAAACAATAGCTGGTGGAGGATATGCCTCAACACGGCATTTAAGATCTATGTCAAAATGTACAGCTTGTCCCAAACTAGTTTGTAAAGCAGTTATAACTGGAGCAAATTTTACCTCTATGGCAATATTATGTCTGGCACCTTTTCCAAAACCATTTTCAGCTATACAGTAATAGGTTCCACGATCTTCTTTTGTTATAGCCGGAATTTTCAAAACATTACCTCTAGAAGATAAAATATAGGTATGCTTAATTTTTGTAATTATTAGTATATAAATTGTATTTAATTTGTTTATGCATTTTCTATTATTTTTGGTACCTATACATTGATCCACCTATAGATAAAATTGCATTGTTTGCTCGTCTCCAAGAAATTCTTGGTCTAGGATACCCACCAGCATAACATTCAAGTTGCACTGATTGACCTTCTATTACAACTAATGATCTGGTTGAGTTTTTATATATAAATGGCCTTTTACGCACTATTAATTCAGTATAAGCAGATATTTTGTTGTTAATCCCAATTACCACATCACAGCGATAGATACTGGCATCGGTTTCCTGAATATAATCTATCTGAAAATATAATAGACAAATGAGTCATTTATTTTTTTTTAATTATATCTCTAGTTACCTTTAATATATATTGATTGCTATCTATATCTTGTATCAATGATATTCTTGGATCATTTACAATAAGTGTACTTCCAAATGAAAATATAATAGGTTCTTGGATAACTTTAACCCATAAAACATTGAAACCCTTGGTATTAAAGGTTGTACATGCTAATTCTACTGTATCGCCAATATCTTTTATAAGTTTTTGTGTAATATGTGTTATAATTGGCGTTCTTTGAGAATAAGCTAAAATTAAAATTGAATCTTTGTTATTAATTAAGTTATGCAACATTGCAACATTTTTAAACATAATAATTTGTAATATAATATAACCTGTATCATATATAATATTATTTTATAGGTATTATTGCATTATAGTAATAAGTAATTATGTTGAAAAAAAAAAAAATTTTCTATAAAATTGATATTTAATTAAGAGTATGCGTTGTTGTCATCATTTTATGAGACACAGTAAATTTAAATTCAGCAGAATCCATTGTGTTATTATTAGTTTAAATATTATAGTAATTTTATGTATTAGAACCTTTAAAAGTAAAATTTTAATTTTAATTGTAGAGCAAGTTATAATATTATGTAAAATTTAAAAAATATAAAATACACATAAAACACTCATATAAAACTAAAGTATAAAAAAAAAACCCTTTTATTTATCAATAAAATTTTTAAATTTTATGACGATCAATTGACTATAATGTAATTAATATTCATTACCATAAATTCAGTAGAATATAAATTTACTATGTTTGTAAAAAAAAGACACATACCCATAAGAGAACTAAACAAAATACAACTTTAAGTGGTTTTTATTTACTTGTGTATTCATAAAAACTGTGATTTTTCTTTGTTCAGTTTGAACACTTTAAAGCTTTACTATATTATTTTAAGTGTTAAAATATTGAAAAATAAGCGAATTTCTAATAAGCATACAACAATTTATTGAAAGTATTCAAAAACAAAGTTTATTATGTATTTTTTTATGTACACATATTATGATTTTATCTTGTGTCATATTTTTCTATTAGAATAGTGTATGAATTAATAAGTATCTTATAATTACTAAATTTAACTAGTAATTCTAAGATTAATAGCGCATTAAGAAAGTAAATAAATTTTTTTTTTAATTATTAAAACAAAATAATAATATACTTATATTATTTGTTTAATATTGAAGTATATATTTAAAATATTATTATTAATAGTTGTAGCTAGTTTTATATAAGTAAATTTAACTAAAAAATTGTATTTGCATATATCATGTTTAAACCCTAATATATTTGTATGAGATTATCACTGTTTAAAATTAATTATGATACACATAAATAAAAAATTTAATTGCTCATAAGTTTGTTTTAATGTTTATAATTATATTTTTTTTGTTTTTAATATTTTATTGGTTAGTTGGTTAGTTTTCCTATTTATAATTTACTTTAAAGTTTATTTTTATTATTCTTTTGAATCCTATAATATTTTCCGATTCAGTACTAAGTATTAATTGTGTAAAAAGAAAAGTTAAAAATAATATATAATATCATCTTTTAAATTCAAATTTAATATATTTGCTTAGTATGAATTTTATTTTAATATATTAAAACATAAATACTATAAAAGCAACTACTGACAAGTAACTGTGCAATAAAGGTTAAAAATATTATATAAATTATTAATTAAAAATGTTTTTATTATGACATACATAATTCTATTGTATACCTAGTAAACCATATTTTTGTATTTATTTATTAGAAATAAGTATCTATTTTTCTTTAATATATAACATGGGTATTAAATGTGTTTGGCAGAGCTGTAGCTTGTGTATTCATTGTTCATTAGTTAAAAACCTAAATTTTATTCAAATTTTTGGGATATAATAATTAAATCCTAAGATTTTAGTGCTCAAAGCCAAATAAAATTCTTAGTTCGTTAACTACTGATTAAAATATAATAAGTAAGTATATTAGGTATCTTAGTTAGCAGTTATTAAAACTTTTAAAACTTTAAACAAAGATTGGTACCTACTATATCTATTGCTGCTGTATAAATTATAATTTATAATAAAAGCATAAGTCAAAAAAATTACTAAAAATTTCACAATATTAAGCATTTCTTATAACGGATAATAGTGGTAGGTAATTTACTGATTAGTGTAGGTCATAGGACATAGGTAGGAATCACATTAGATAAAATGTTGGTGCTCTGTTGATGCTATTGATGTACATAGATTTAGGACAAAGAACTAAGAAAAAGTTTGAAATCATAGTACAGACATACGTAATTAGTGCAATAATAAGTAAGTTAAGTAAAAAATAATAATAATAATGGCGGGATAAAAATCCTAATCACTCAACCATTGGAGTTCGCAACAGGTGTAGATTGTGAGCATCTGTTAATCTGACGTCACCGCTATTATTTGTGCTGTGTGATTAACAAGTACTTACCGAGCTTGATACATAGTAAAAATAGTACTCCATAGATGTACTTCATTTTGGAATAACAGTAATGTTATTGATGTAACTATATTAATAAACTTAATTTTCTTCCACAGAAAGGAATTTGAAAATGCCAAAATTATTCGGCTAAAAAAACAGGAAAAATAATGTTTGACTAACAAGTGTTTATCTTAACGATAAATCACAAAATGATAAAAGCAGTTTGAGTAAGTAAGGCATAGGTTATAGTCAGGAGAATGAAAATTGGTTGCTGACGTAAACGATCCCGGTGGTGTATTTCTATAATGACTTCGCAAAATAATAAAAAAAAAAAAACCCGCGTATTTTGAATTTTAAATTTAATGTATTTACATTTTATTATAACCTACTATGCAATATGAATAAAGCAATAACAAATGCAAAATGGGAAAAAGGTCTATAAAAACGAAACCGTCTGTAGTACTTACTAGTTGTTGGTTAGTATACTAGGATGGCCATTTTTATAAAAATAAAAAACGGGACCAACGATTTTTTTAATTTTTTCCTATTATATCTAAGTTACAATTAATTAAAACAATAAGATAATAATTAATAAGTAATAATTATAATATGCTGTTCTTTTTAAAACTGTTTTATATTTTTTTACAAACATTATTTAATAATATACAAATAATGGGATTAAAACGAAGTTATCATTTAAAAACGGGATAAAAAGCGTCCAGTTCGGAGTTTGTCGGGACAACGGGATATGATGAACAAAATTGGACAATAACGTTTGAAACGGGACGTATGGTCACTCTATGATATACCGATCACGCTTCGCGTTACTCAGATTCAGTTATTCATCGAAGAAAAAATCGTCGCTATCATATTTGACAGTAACCAATTTTCATTGTCCTGACTATAGCTGTATCATTTTCGCTGTCATTAAGCAGTGTTTTAAAAATAAGGGATCACAGTAATTTGTAAAGTATCCAATTCAAAACTGTAATTGGATTATTTACTCCAAGTCCATAAACGATTACTTAAAATTCGAATGATCCTTTTTTCAAACTTGATTCGGTGGTTTATGACTAATTCGATGAATTTAAGTGAATGTACCTATTTTCTTTTTTTTTTGTAAAAAAACATACGTAAATTGGGGGCTGTGTATTTTTTTAACATACGTAAATCGCGATCCAGTATATTCTAATTTCCAATTGGCTGTACAATTTAAAGATTAGTAATAACTAATAATCTATGTTGTAGATAATATTATGTTCATAATATGTTATTTAATAACATTACGTTATGAAAAACGAAAGAATAAAACGTTGAAAGTGGTTGATGGATTCAAATTTTATTTTTCACAAATTTAAAAAAAATGATATTTAGCGTTGGTGTTCCACTAAGTCTTTTTTTGAAATTCAATGATAATAATATATATATAAATTATTTAAGTCGTTTAATAGATCACAACTATACACAAATATCGGAACAACAAATAAATTGATGAAAACTTAACAATACCTTAAAAAGAAAAGCCATTGGCGATATGTTCACTAGGCCATCTAAAATGATCCATACTGAATTGAAAAATGCTGATGTTGAATTTTTAACTTCTCAAGACGTAAATTTGATAAAAAGAAATTTACACAATACTTGAGCTTCTATCTTATCAAAATGACTTGCCACTTTTTTGAAATTACACAACATTTTCGATAATATGGAATTTAAAACAAATAAAAATGAAAATTTTTTATTAATTAATAATAAAGAAACAAATATAGTAGGTTTCTCTACATTAATCAATTTAAAAGTGTTATGCAATTTGGATACTATATTTATAGTTGGTACATTTTAAAGTTGTCCAAAACTATATCATCAGTTATTTACAGTCCATTGTATAATATTAATCAGTCTTATGTTCTACTGGTTTATATTATTTTACTACCTTCAAAGAATACGCAATGCTATTCATATGCATATGAACATTTAGTTACAGAAAGCAAAAAAAAATAATTTACAATTTAGTCTCATTCGGTTATATGCCGATTTTGAAAAGGCTATCCACAATGCTGCAAGACATGTTTGACATTCTATTGGTGTAAAAGGGTGTAGATTTCACCTTGGCCAAAGTTGGTACAGGAAAATACAGTAGCTGGGCTTAAGTAGGGCTTACAATCACAACAATACAGAAATAAGTAATTTTTTTAAATTATTTTTTGGACTACCGTTTTTAAGTTTTGTTATGGTCGAAGATTATTTTGCATACAATTTAATGGCGTAATAACCATAAGATGATAATATGATAATACAATTTACTAACTAGGTACATATTTGAATCCTATTTAACCAATGACGTAGAGTTTCTACCACAGGTATGGGCCGAATTTGTGTCCTCAACGACGCGTACAACAAATAATTGTAAATCATTTCATAAAAAACAGCTCATTCAATTCATCACACTCAAACATATTTAATTTCTTTGACATTTTAAAAAACATGCAATGTTATACGTACATCATCTCGAGAATTCAGGGAACAAAAAGCAAAAAAAAATTACTGAAAAAGAAACATTTATACATGAAAAAATGTATGAATTTCAAGCAAAAAAAAATTACTCGGTTAGACTATGTGCGGAAATTATCTTACAAATTTTTACCAGTTTCTCAATTTTTTTTCAATAATATATTTTTTAATGACTCACATTTTTACCTAATATTTTATTACTAAAAATACATTTTTTAATTATAAATAAAAAACAGCAAAACCAATATTTTTAACCATACCAATACTAAAACAATTATATTACCAGTCTTAAGTCTGGAAAATGGGAAGGAAAATATTGGTTTTAATAACTAAATTGATTTTATACAAATTATACCTTGGCCGCAGTTTACATGTATACAAAATATACCCAGGTCGCAATTTACGTATATATAAACCCGAGTCGTAATTTACAAAAAAAATTAAAATGGGACGCAATTTACAGCGACTTCACACTAAACTTATTGACCCCTGCTTTACACAATAATCGATTAAAAATTAATCAGTTATTTTTGCAGATATTTAAAAATATAAAAATTAAATATTAAAATTTTTTTTTTTTTACTCATCTTATGTTTTCGCTGCGACAGAGCTTACGATAGAGGGCAGTTTTCTGCCGCAACTTGCGCAGATGATAGACAAAGGATCGGGTGACCAACTTATAAATATATACGAAATACTCAAAATTTAAGAATGACAATATCACTGCAACGCCTAGCGTACAGTATACATATATATTACAAATAAATTATATATGAAAAGGTTCGCATTAACTAATAATTAATAATATGCGGGCGCCCAGAGCATTTACATATAAGATAATATAGTATAACAAATTAATAAACAATAATTACACCTATAATAATGTGCGCTAATAAAATTTTATAGGCCTTTAAGTACAAGGACCTTCAATGCCACAGGTATAAAAGAAAATATATAATAATACGTAATAGTATACAAATAATAATTTTACTGGCCACTGAACACGAGGGGACAAATATGAATAGAATAATAATGTAGGACCTGATGGCGACAGCACTGGACCAATTGGCTCCTTGACACCGATGACGACTGTCGCTGATGCAAACAAGCTCTTCGTTGACGAGTTAAAACAAAAATGACACCTCGTGATCACACGTGGTTTTGTTGGTTGCGATACGCAAAAATAACGGTTGACGAACACGTTGTTCTCAGGTCAACCGTTGTAAAAAGACAGGCACACAGACGTCGAGCTGGCTAGCGATTCGGCCATGGGCTTACGAGCTGTCACCAGACAGCGGAGGGGGAGCTTGCTGGACACAGCTTTATCTTGTAGCCGGACACCTTATCTCTTGCCACACCTGTGGTGTCCCGAGGAGATATATATAATTTGGCCAAAAGAAAAAACCGTTCCGCGATCGAACATCTTATTTATGCTTGGCAACTAAGGTCATGTTGTGGATAAGAAGAACAGTAGTAAGGTTTGTTTTATAAGGTTGGATTATAGTAGCGGTTAAGTTGAATTAATTAAGATCCACGTGGTCACCCATCCGAGAAAGCTAACGACGCCGGTCGATGCTTGACTTCAGAACACGAGTAACCGAGGCCAACTACCGCGCCACACCGAGCCACAAAAGCATTTTTTGTTTTATTGTTTTTAAGTCACTATATAGCACAAACGATATGAAATTCATGAAATTAAATCATTGATTTGAAATTTTAATCTTTTATCCTTGTCAAGACCTTATAACTGAATATATTCTTAATCACTTTAATTGTAAATTATTTGTAAATAATAAATGTAGAAAATTGAGCTGATTTATACAAATTAAAATATACCTAAATAAACATGAACACATTTTCCATGTTGTCTAACACGAATCCAACAATAAAAATAGTACTTGAGAGTTTTTAATTTTGACCTCTTTAGATTACTAACTAATTTTAATTTTCTATCCTAAATCACTTATCATCTATTTACTAAAATTTTTATGAAAACGATAAAGTTTTAAATTTAGATGATTTTGAGGAATTTTGTTTTAGTCAAAAAAGCAACAGTTATCATCGCGTACATGTATAGACATTATTAAATATACTTATGTATGTATAATAAAAATTGAAAATTGATGTATAAAATACACAATGCGGGTAAAACTAAAAAAATCAGAATTATTTAATATAAATAATTATATAGTGATAACAATTAAACGATTAAATGTCCAGTAAGACAGTTCTATTGCCAAGGTTTAAAGTGGGGGTGACATAGGAGGATTCGGACCTTCTGGCTTCTACCAATAATGGAGATTAAAAAGCATCTCTTTGGAATTGAATAATGAAAAAGATAATGAAATACAAGTTCATATATTGTAAAATAAAAAAATAATAAATATGCAAGGAAAATTTAAAGATAAATCTATTATCCTAGTCAATAAAATTAACAATTTAAAAAATAATGAACTTTTGAAAGAAGCATTAAAAAAATTAATTTCTATTGAAGCATTCATTGATTTTATTGATGCAACATAAAATAATTACGAAACACTTAAAGATTTTAGTAAAATAATAAATGAACTACCAAATATAAAACTTAAAATATAAGACACATTCTTCTCTATAAAAAATACAAAAACAAGAAAAACTCATCTAAGACCATCTAGAGCTGAAACTGAACATCTCAATAGTCAATAATGTTCTACTACAAAAAGAAAATTATTTTTTATGTTGTGACGAATCCGAACATTCCTATTTTATGAAGTAGGAATTCAATTGATTAATTATTATTACTAATGTTATTATTATTTAAGACTGACTATTTATAACAGTGAATTATTATTATACTTTAGACTTTAGATATAGATTTAATGATTTAACATGTTTTAAGAACTAAAATTAGGTATATGACAAACTGTAAATTTTAATCATTATTACATTTATATAATTAAATTTAACAGTTAATACTTTCAATAATGTTTCTGAGATATTTATTTGTATATACTACTTATGTCGAAAACGTTGAAGCACTAGAGAAATGTAAAAGTTTCAATCTTTTTTTTATGGTTTCAATTGGGTATTCATTCAAAGATTCATGTTACATTTACATACAATTATGTTACGTATTACAGTGATTTGATATAATATTTATACAGCTTAACATAATGATAGTCGAAGAATAATTACGTGCATAAGCATAAGGTGCATTGCTGTGTTTGGATGTTCCTATCACGCAAGGTTTATACTGTTTATAGATCATTTATCAATAATATTATCTTTAAACCTTGCTTTTCCCGCCCATAAGCTACATAAAATAATATATTATATTTTTATATTGACATTGCTTGCGTAGTTGCGCTATCTCTTGACATCATATGTTAATAATTTACGTGTTTCCATATTTTATATGGCAGTAAGGTCTATTGCTACTAGATGGCCCATCTAACGTTTGTTTAGTTCATGTCTCTTGTTACACAACTACCGAGGCGCTATAATTTGTAGTTTAACTATGCGGTTTCTTCGTTACGTGTGATAAAACGTGTTTGGTTTGGGCATCTCATGCCTTATCTATTCTTATGACGTGTCAAAGTAGTGGCGAGTATGTTTGATAAACCAAGATAATACCAATTACGTAGCCAAGCAGGAATAAGTTACCCTCTCGTTGTCATGCTTCGTTTTTCGTTTGGACTGTTTGGATTCTGCACTAACCAAATCATTCTAATTTACTATACAGTTTGTATGAGTGCATTCTTAATTTTTCTAATAATTACAGTATCAGGAACTCTGAAACTTCGAATATTATTTTTGTAATATTATATTTTACTGTGCCATGTGATTCTTTTGTTCTAATTGCTTGTCTATCACACATTTTAGGTACTAAATGTTATATTATAACATTATACACTATTCGTATTTAAATTGGTGTAACTTCAAAAGTTGTTAATCTAGTGATAGTTTGAATAAGAAACGATTCCTCGCTTATTTATTAAACGTGAATCTATTTCTTCAAAATTTGTCGGTCAGTGTTGAACCTAAAGCCATATTCATCTCAATGAGTTCTATAAATGTAAGTACTTTATTATTGTTATAATATACTTGACCAATTAAAATAAAATATGTATTGTAAATGCACTATGGTGAATAAAATTATTGATGCAATTAACATAGAAATGTTGAATTACAAAGTTTTTTTAAGATTCTAAAACTTCATAAAATTGTTATCAAAAATAATTTAATTTTAAAATTTAAATGTATAGAAATTATAGTATATTAAATGCTTACTTAAAATATATTTTATACTCTCATACATAAAAAATTGTTCGAATTGCATGTTTGATAAATAATTGGTTAGTTAATTTTTAGATATTTTATTTATTATATTAAAATGCTTTATTTGTATTTTAAAACATTGTTAATAATTTATATTATCATATTTTATAATAATATGTGAATAAACAAAAAAAAATAAGATCTTTAAATGTGAGAGGTAAATGTTTACTAAAAATTTTGTTTACCAGATTGGTTATTGAATTCTAAAATTATCAAAGGTTATCTATCTTCAAAAATAATAATCAAGATCACCAAATTTTATAACTATTCATATTACCATTTATATATAATAATTAGCTTAACTGTGAGAGTATTTTTGGGTTGGTTAAGTTAATTTGGAAAAATTTAAGTTTAAGGTTAAAAATTACTTTTCTTTTTTAAGTTAATTAAGGTAAAAATGAACTTAGTTTAAAATCGTAAATTTTTTTCTTCCTTTTTAAACCTTAATAAATAACAGTAATATGAGGTTAGATAAAAAATATTTTAATTTTGTTATATTACTACTATTAAAATAACAAATATATTTTTTAATATTAGTTTACTTTGAAATATTTGCTACTTAATCTTATGCACTTATCTCAACTTTCTTTCCTCATTTTGAAGTAGTATTGAAAGTTTTCAACAAAGTTTGAGTTTATCCGCTGTATTTGTTGTTATTGTTTTAATGTCATCAAGTTTTTATGCTTTAAGGTCAGTTTTAATTTTTGGAAATTGCAAAGAGAAATAAATAGGGTGAATGAACAGAGGCGTATTTAAGCTGGGGCCCGTACCCCACCCCTCTATTCACATATTTGATACTTTTATTGAGTATAAGTCTCTTGGATAACTCTGATTTATTCTTGTCATTTAATTAAAACTTAATTATAGTAAGTCTAATTAATTGTTAAACTATTAAAGATAATTTTATAATAAACTGTAATTTAAACATTACATGTTATACAACATAATATGTCTTTAATATCAAAAAAATTATTAGTATTTTCTTCATGTTGGAGTCAACTTGTCTAGCTCTTTTGGGTTTTGGTAATGTTACATATCTCCATTGTGATATCTATTAATCTGCTCATTGCTTTATCTTCAAATGATTTTGTAATTATTTTAATAATTTCAATTGCTGATTTGTTGAGTTTGACATAAAATGTAATGTAAACATGCTATAGTTAATTTGAAATGACAAAAATGGTAGATACTATAAAATCATACAAATTAAATTGATTGAGATCAGTAACCTCCCCCTTCCCACTCCCCAAATATTAACTTGTAGATTGAAAAGTATGATTAAGTATTATCTCTAAAGCTCAAAACTTAATGCACTTAAAAAGTGTCAAATATGTATGCACTTATGTGTAGGATGCTACCATGTTCATCTTAGAATTGCTTCCAATTGCATTAGTAAAAGTTTTTCTGTTATGACAGGGTTTCTATCATAATATAATATGCAATAAAACAGATTTGATGTTAGCAATTAAATATACATTTTCCTTGTAAAGCTCCATTTTATATAAAATTAATAATGGAAAAAATTACGTTTTGATGATCTAAATTCGAGAAAAAGGCTTGCAAAGATTAGTTTATGAGTTGCTAAATAATAAATAAAGAATAAAGAATTTTCTTATATCAATGAAATAATAATTTTATCTGTTAATACATTGCAAATTATTTATTTTTGTATCATATTTTTAATTGTTAAATCATATATTTTTTTTGTTATTTAATTTTAGGATGACGAGATTTTGTTTCATCAGATGGTGCATTCATTTAGTTTAGATCATCTACGAAAGATTTTAGATAGTATACCAAACCAGTCATCAAATGGGAATGAATCGTCTTTACGTGACCGGCTTATATACTTATTAACATCATCTAATTTATCTCTAAAATCTTTGGCAATCCAAAAAATGGTAGACGTCCATTGGCTTCGAACAGTGGAGATGAGGCCACTTGAATCTTTACATGTCGACCTATCTAATATATCAGATATAGCAGAACATTTACTTGTACCCCAAAATGAAGCCTTACATTTTGAACATGATCTACCGTTCTTTAAAACAATATGTACATTGTTATCGCCCTTGTACTGCAAGAGTGAGGTTCAGATTATCACCTTACATAAGTTCTTTTATATAGAAAAAAGTACTAGAGATTTAATTGTTAGATCTTGGGATAATGACACCAAAGCATATAAATGTGGAGTTATTTTAAGATTGGAACAAATTGGAGAGAAACCATTCACTGACCGTTTACCTTTCGATTTTAAAGTTTCTGTGAATGGTCATAAATGTTTATTACCTAAGTCAATCCCTAAATCATCCGAAGTATCTACGTCATCAACGAACAACACCATTCCATGTCAATCCAATATTCATATAGATTTAACTGAATATTTAGATTTAAATACAAGTTCACAGAACTCATTAGATGTTAAATGGTCAAATGAAATAAGTGATTTTATAGTTGGTGTTTATGTGGTCCAAAAATTAATTTGGAAAAATCTGCTTGTAAACCTTAAAAAAAGACCATTTTGTGTTGCTGAAAAAACTATAGAACGCATTAAAGAATTCGCAGAAAGTGAAATTGATTTGTTGATTTCCATTCAGGATCCAATAACTAAACTAAGAATGAAACTGCCTGCCCGAGGTATAGGATGTACACATTTGCAATGTTTTGATGCAATACATTTCTTACAAATGAATGAACAAAAGCCAATGTGGTTGTGCCCATTATGTAAGAAACGAATTAAATTTAAAAACATGGAAATCGATGAATATTTCTTAAAGATAATTGAAAATCCAAATTTAAGTGAAGAATGTGAGAATATTGTTTTATCAAAAGATGGCACTTGGACTGAAAAAAAAATAAACGCTGTTTCAAATAATTTAAGGACAAACAACTGTGAATCAACAAATATAGGAGTAATTATATTGTCAGATTCGGAAGATGATGATATTATAAAAAATCAAAACGTTTAAAATGCTCTTCACAAAAAAAAATAATCTAGATGGCAGATTTTAAAAATTTTAACTACTGTAAAAACAAATATTAACCATTTTATGAAGTGTCCTTTTTAAAAATATTTCAACTTCACTTCATTCAGTTATTATCACAAATTATAAACTTGGTTCATTATCATGAATAGGATCAACTTGTATAAATAATTTTAACCTTCAAAATATTACTATCTTAGAGGTCAGTTTTAAAGACTGTAAGCCAAGTACCTTTGAAAGTATTAAGCAAAATATAAATCCAGATTGATTGTAAATGTTAAATTTAAATTTAATTATGTATTTAAATTATTATTTATCTTAAATTGTATAAAATACTATATTAAATAATTTGTGTTTAAAAAGGTCTAGTTTAACTGGTAAATAATGTTTAATATTTAAATATTTCATCAAAACTGAATTTATTGTAAAAATTTAAAATAATTTAAAATGTAAATTTATTTAAATGCCTTGTTTAACTTATTTTCAATTTAGTAGTTTAATCATATTTTTATTTATTATTTTATCGATGCACAATTTAAAACATATAAATATACCATGGTCAGTGGTAGCTATTAAGATTCTTTTTCATCAGAATACATATATATTATTAATTTTTATAGCATTTAAACTGTTCATAATTTAATAAGTACCTACAGGATAGTTTAGAATATTTACATCATCTCATAAGAATAATATTAATTTTTAACTTGTTTTTGTAAACTTTTACTTAATTCTTATTTATTAACATTTTTATTAATAAGACCTATTTCTGCCATAATTTTTTATATTTTTTATCTTTAAGTTTTTTTTGATTTCTAATTACACTCCCTTTGAATATTTTTAAGCATTTTTTAATTTATTTGCTGTACATCTAAACATATTTTTTTTATTTTCCATTTTAATACTTGTAATACAGTTTTTGGTTCTAAATAATTATATCTAGACTAACATATTTTTGGTAAAGATAACTATTCAAAATGTTTTTAATTTCATTATTATTAATTGTTGTAAGCCTTTGAAAGTTTTATTTGGCTAACTTATTATATATCACGTATTTAAAATCTCGAGGAGTATTAATTAAACTATTTCTTATTCTATATTTTAAAAAGTCAAAAATGCTAAATTTTCTCTATTATAATTTGTTTTCCTACTCTTTAAGCAGTAGCTTTAATATATATTCTTTCCAAAAACTGTTGTATATTATTTATAAAAATATGTTAACCTATTTTTATTTATTTTTTTTTTTCTTTTTAATAAACTTTTAATTTTATAAATAGCTATTACATCATTTTTAATGCTTTATTTTAATATATTTTCATATTTTTATGTGACACCTAGAATAGTAGTCAGTAATAAATAATAATCTCTGGAGTAATAACAGGTAAAAAGCTATTGAAGAATCCGCTACTGAGATATGATTTAAGCAGGTTCTAAATAAATATTTGGTAATTTCCTTTATAAGCGAAAGTTTCCCAAATTACTTAACAAGGATGTTAGATATTTTTTATTTCCAATGAGAGTTCTTATTTGTGTCTATGTTTAAGTCTTTATCTATAATTTTAAAGCTAGCATTTGTTTCTTTATTTTATTTCAATAAGCGATTGATTAATTTCATGGCATAGAGATCTATACATTGCATGTAGTATGAAATTTAAATTGACTTATATTAGTAAAATATTGAAGGAGGTCAAAACATTTAATTCTGGGTTGGTAACAGTCATATGTTCCATATTATTATTAATGTAAATTACTAGTCCATCATTTTTATTTTTATTATTGAAGCTATAGTAAAGTGTATAAAAGTTTATTTTAAATAAGCACATTTGATCTTTAATATACTCTATACTAGCTCCTGATAAAATAATTACATCAAAGTTTAGCCCGCAGCCTTTTAATGCAATACAGAGTTTTTTAGTCTACAGATATTGAGCAATAGGATATTAAACGGATTTGACATGTAAAGTTTTGCTTGCAGGTTATTTAGAGAACATTTTATGTTCATAGGAATTTATTTCAACTATATTATTTAGTATTGAAACGGTTTATCTAGTAAAATATAAATTATACAATTCAAAATATAGATAACAGGAAAATTAAAGCCACATAACTTCTATGATGAATTTTTAAAATTATTAGGATTCATAATCTATATTGATTAATAATTAGGTACTAACATATGCTTAATATAAATTGATCATTACTTATTAGTCTTTATATTAAAACTATTCTAGACATTTTACAGAAAAATACAAGTTACACACTACCATAAATTATTTCTGAGAGAGTAGTCATGGCAGATTATCATTTAAGTCAAAACACAATAAAAAATAAAAATAAATGAATAATATTATCGGCCATAATGATCACAAATTTAACTTTGTAAATTTTAAATTTAACTATTGGTTTCTCAGTACACAATTACAATTAACTCACAACAATTTTTGATATATTATACTAATCAATACACGTTTACACGTTAAACTACATACAGACTTTCAACAATTAAGTGTACCACAATGAATTATTCTAATTTTTCATATTTGCTTTAAAAATATAATCTATAATTGATTTTGGTAATCAAGGTATATTTATTATAATTTATATTAATACATGGGCAATTTGATTCAGACATTAGGCACTTCAGCCAATGAAATTCATAGGGTATGCCTGGGAACACTGTATGCCTTTAGTTATTAATTGTAGTCTAAAATAATTAATTGTTTAGAAAAATATTAAATCATTTTTATTGACACATTAGTTTCATTTTTATTATTAAATCCAAGTAGAGCAATGGATTTACAGGAAATGTATTTTTATTTGTTGTAGTACATAGCTTTTTTATTAGTTTATCACTAGTTATAATAAAAAATTGTAATTGAAATTTTCAGAATTAAGTGCAATTGTTTTATAACACAATTAAAATATAAATAGAAGTATACAATACAATCAACAATTTATATTTTGTACTTAGTAAAAATGAATCCAGATAAGTCTAAGATTCTAGAAATACTCTCTCCAGAGTTTTGACATATTTAAATGAAAAAAAATAAAGATTTTACTGTTCTTAATTCATTATTAATCATAAAAAAAATTGTCTTAAGTATAATACAACACTTGCCTCTTATGCACCAGTAGAGCGCTTATATAGTAGTGGATCACAAACACCAAGGAGAAATTGTTTGAATGATAGAACATTTGAGATGCTCTTATGTTATAGTCTATAGATGTCTAAATCTTTATTTAAACAAATTCTAATATCATTAAAATTATAACTGTTAAGGTTTACTCAAGAAGAAAGGATAATAAACATTGTTACTTATTTTTATTATTAAATAGTTATTTTGTATAATGTTTTACTATATATTCAAGTAATTCTATAGTTATACTTTTTTTTTAATGAATTATATTATTATAATTAAAAATTTTATTTCCAAAATAAAACAATACATTTAGAATTCAATTATTTCTTACCAAACATTGATTAATTATTCATAACTGTTAAGGGTATGTATTTAACTCATCATTGGTAAATAGTTTATTACAAGTTTCTATGATTATATACATGTTTTTGACAAGATTTAATCAGATTCAATTTTCCTTGTGTGAAATAATATAAATTAATAACGTTTTTTGCTTAATTGATTTATATCATGAATTGTGTATGAATTATTGTACATATAGTCATGTAAAACTAAGTAGGAGTGCACAAAATAATTATTAAAGAGTGAATTAATATTTAACTTGATAATTTTGGATAGTATTGGTATGAATGTTAAAATGTATTCTGATATTTCATTTTTTGTTTATTAAAAAAAAATTTAGATATTTAAGGTATGATCATACTAAAAAACAATGGTAACAATCTGTTGTTAAGATTGAGTATTATGCTGTAATTTTTCATGCTATTAAAAACCTTGGGTAAAAATTCAGGAAAGAGTAAAATATTTTTAATCATCTATATTTTTATCTACATAAAAGTATTGTTATCTTTTTTTAATCTAATTAAATTCCATTTATGTTACCTCTTACCTTATCTAGAAAACTTTTAAATTATATATTTTCAACACTGAATATACTATATTACGTATATTAGATGAAAAACTTAATCATTGGCTATTCGTTTTTGAATTAAAATAAAATAACAAAAATCGAGAAGAAATTTTTATTTTACATAAAAAAATGCAATGTAGTAGTCTCAAAATTATATTTTAAATCACCTTAACAATTTTTTTGATTTTCACTTAACTTTAAATTTTATTTTTAATAACAACTTATGAGGAATCTCGTTTTTATTAATTTTTTTAGCTTTGTTTGTCGAATTTCAATAATGGAATATTAATATATTTTTATTAGATAATAATAATTTATCATAACTACATTTTGTTTTAGATTCTAAGCAGAGCAATGAATATATTTTTATCAAAAAATGGTAAAATTTTAAATTTTGAGTATGTTTTTGAAATAAAAAAACTCCCTATAACTTAATACAGATAAATTTTTAGTTTTCCAACTAATTCGATTTTGTTTTTTAATTGTGTAACTTTAAGACAAATATTTGTTGAAACTTGAAATTTTTACCAATTGGTTTTATAACCATCTTCTATGCATAAAATACAATTGGTAAAAATTATTGAAAAATGAATACTGTTTTTAGCAAAATTTAATTAAAAAATAAAAAACATTTAGTTTATATAATAATATTTTATAAGCATTCAAAATTAAGGTTTTGATAAAATTATTATCAAAATCTTAAAAATCACAAATTATTTTATAAAATAATTTCTGTTAATATCTACAAATTGAAATTTAATACAATACTTCTTTGTACATTTTAACTTACTTAAAAAATAAAATTCCACTAGAAAGTCAAATTAATTTTTTATAATGTTTGAAGTTCAAATTCTAACAACATTGAATATTTATCTGTATAATATAATAACTAATTCTTATTTTCAAACAATTTTTGTTTTTGTGGTTACTCCATTGATATTTGAAAATTTCATCAAATATTGTTTTCTATACGTTATATAATTTTAAAAATATTTAACTGTATCCAAAATAAAAATATTCTTATATTTGGATAAATTATTAAAAATACATAGGCACAGTTTAATTTTTTGATAAACATTTGAAGTGTCAAAATCATAAAAGTTTATTAAATCTGTAGTTTTAAAATATACAATAATATTCCTTTTAAATATCTTGTACAGTAATAAAAGTTAATTAAATAAATTTAAGGTAAAATTGAGCAATAATTTTGGTTTTAACTCCTTAATAAATTGTTTTTTAAATGATGAATTAATTTAAAAATTAAGATAAACAAAAAATAAATAGGAAGCAATTAAGACATTAACACTTGAAATTTTGATAGCAGAGTTTTTTGAGTGTGATAATAATTGGCCACAGGCTGGTGGACATACTGGTATTATAGTTTCTGTAAAATAAACAAATATAAATATTACTATGTAATGTAATTATGGAAGAATTTGTTCTTCACATTTCTTACCATTTAACATTAAACTTACATGGTATAATAATTATATATAAAACATATCAATTGTTCTTTTAAATGACATATTTCATTTTCAAAGAATGAAACAATATTGTTAGTTAATATTTATTTTTTATGAATACTATGGTATAGTTTTATTTTATTTTAAATTATTTTATCATTGGACATGTTATATAAATAACACAATGCTAAGTTCATTATTAATTTTATAGGAAATATTTTATTTATAAAAGCAAGTTCATCATATTAGTATTAGTAAAAACCAATGTCATTAAACTTTTATTAGATTGTTAAATTTTGATATATTTAAATATCATAGACTTATCTAATATTATTTTTCAACAAAAAATAATTAATTATACTGATACAACAAAAGCGTTAATTAAAAGTTGTATTTATACTTATTTTTTTATTTTATATGCATAGATTAAGTCTGTTATGGGCTACGAGATACATTGTTAAATATAAGTATATATAATATAATGTATAATATTGCTAATATAAGTATTAGCATGACCATGACACGTGTTGGGGAGTAAACATATTCTTACAGATTATAACACAAGATAGTAGATACATATTATTATGAATCTCGTTGCATTAGGATCATAATGCATTTTCGGATGTAATTATCTACTTCTCAACAACATCATTACAAACATCACAATAGTGCATTACGCGTGCCGAGGTCGAGTGAAATACATTATTAAGGTTACTTGTATGCAACATCACATTGCATTGGCACGTGTTGGCAATTAGGAGCAGATTGCATCCTGGATATTGTTTTTCCAAAAACAAGTTTCAAAACAACTCCAAGAATACATATGGAAATCAAGGCTATGGACTACAATAACAAGAAGCTTTTCCATATATAAAGGAGCCCAGAGACCAGCAACAGCAGATGTACCAGAGCCACGAAGACCTGAGCACCTTCACAACACTCAGCCACTTTTTGTATCAGTTACATGTACTTTATTTATACGTAATAAACACATTATTGTTCTTAAGAGTTGTAAATTTCATTTAAACAACACCCTGAGTCTGGATCTGATATTGGCACGCAACAAGTCAATGAAGTTGAAACACATAAAAAATATTATGCATATATAAACAATTCATTTTTTATTAGATATGGTATCTCATATAAGTGCGTCAACTGATGGTGGTTTGCATCAATTACTCGTGGACAAGGACACCCAAATCATCAATGGAGGGATAATAACACTCATATACAAATCCTGACTTATTTGATGTACTAATGCACGACTCACTGCTTGATTTTTATATGCTTATAGTAGATAATAAAATTACTAATAATATAGTAATCGAAACAAATAAGTATACTGCACAACAAAAGAAATCTAAATTAACATCATCTTTTGCACGTTTAAATAAATAGTATGATACAGATGTAACAAAAATAAAACAATTATTTGACATTTTAATTTGGACTGGCTTAGTTGCATTATCATCGTACGAGCTTTATTTGAGTACTTTTAATATATTTACTACAAATTTTGGACTTACAATGAGCAGAAATTGTTTTGAAATCTTAATGAAAATGCTTCATTTTTCAGATTGTATTATCTGATTAACTGCTGATAATACAAACCGCTTGTATAAACTTGGTTCAGTAATTGATGGTATAATAATTATTTTATTCATTTAAACAACATATCAAAAATAAACGTAATAGATTTAGTATAGAAGAGTTCAAGCTGTGTATTCCTCCATACTACACAATTGCTTTAAAAATATATGCTGGTAAAGAGGCTAGCCTAAAACTAGTGTTGGGAGAAAAATAGTAATGGAATTAGGAGAACTTTATTTGGATTGTGGAAGGGAATAGTATGTTGATAACTTATATTCAAGTGTTGAGTTAGCTGAAAAGTTAAAAACTAGACATTCATCTTGTAGGAACTATTAGATTGAATAGAAAGTTTAATCCTAAAGATGTAGTCAAAAAAAAGTTTAAAAAAAGGAGAAATAGAATTAAAGAGAAGTGACACAAACGTTTTAATTTTAAAATGGAAGGAAAGATAAGAGGAATTTGTATATGATATCCACAAAACATACCAGTGACGTTGTTGAACATGTTGTAAGAGGTAAAATTGTTAAGAAACCTAAAGTAGTGATGGACTACAATTCAGGAAAAACGCCAATTGATCTATTTGATCAAATGTGTTTATACTCAAACCCTTTTAGGCGCAATGCTAAGTGGTATAGAAAGGCAGTCCTAGATGGAATTTTAAACATAACTGCTGTTAATTCTATGGAAATATTCAATAGAATAACATATTCAAAAGTATCAATCACCGATTTCTGTATGTCACTTGTCAAACAATTGATTAAAAAAGAAACTGTTGACATTGACACCACTTAACACACTATAAAACAACAACTAGAAGTCGTTGGCAAAAGCAAATGTTATATATGCTATTCAATTTTTTCACATAGTAAAGGTAGAAATCATATTTAATCCCACAGTACAAAAGTACAGACTAGATGTTTAGCACGTAATCAATATTACTATCCTCAATGTTTTTTCAAGGATCATAAAATTACAAAGTAGTAGACTAAAAAACACAATGCAAAAGGATTATGTTTTAAAGGTATTGTTCTAAGGAACGTTTTAACAGAACAATTTTAAATAGAAGTACAAATTATTTTGAATGAAATCAGTCAATTTTTTTAGTAAACCTACATAAAACTCCGTTGTGGTCAAGACAATGTTATGTTTGATGAGATCTTATACAGTGGTGTATTGGGGAGGTATACAACATATACCCAATACGTTATTTGTATCCATGGCGTGTATAGCTTATGACAAATTAATAATACACGGGTATTCGGCCTTATCTATCGTAAATTTTATATAACAATTTTAAATAATATATCAAGTATCATATCATGGTTGTAGATAAATAATCAATAACCTTGCAACTACGATATCTCCATAGTCGATTGTATAATATTTTTTTTGTGGTATCACAATCTGATTCTAATGTGTATAAAAAGATTACGTTTTAAATTTTTTGTATAAAATGTAAAATATTTTCAGCATTAAAATAATTTATTGTTTTTAATGTAGTATATTGTTAAGAAAAATAAAAGTTATAGTTCAAGCACAGTGAGAAAATTTTTTTTGGACCCTACCTGGATCTCTCTATTAAATATATTTACATAAATAAGGCATATACCCACGGTTTATTTTAGCAATACATCACTGATGTCATATAAAATTTCATGGCGATCAACGTGTTAATAAAACCAATATTTACCGTAAAGAGTAACTGTAACTTCAGCAGTTCCTAATATATTTGACGCTTTGCAGATATAATCCCCATATTGACGGTTTTCAATTGTAATGATTCGTATTGTAGTGTCTGATGTTTCGTCAGTGGTAGCAAAATGTGATATTCTAAATGTGAAGAGAAAAACCATATTAAATTTTATTTCAACGTGATTTTCAAATGCTCAATAAGTGAGTATACCTGTAATGTTGATTATTGGATAATTGTACTCCATTATTTAACCAGATGACAGCTGGTGGAGGATAAGCTTCAACATGACACTCGAGATCCATGTCATATTGTAGAGCCTGTCCCAAACGAGGTTTAGGAACAGTTATAACTGGAGAAAATTCTACCTCTATGGCAATATTACGCCTTGCACCTTTTCCGACACCATTTTCAGCTACACAGTAATAGGTTCCACGATCTTCTTTTGTTATGGCCGAAATTTCCAAAATGTTACCTCTACAAAACAAAAATGTCAATGCTTAATTTATTTATGTATATTTTTTTTTTATTAGTTAGTACCTATATATTGATACACCATTAGCTAAAATTGCATTGTTTGCTCGCTTCCAGGAAATTAATGGACTAGGGTATCCACTGGCATAACATTCTAGTTTCACTGGTTGACCTACTTTAACAACTAACGATCTAGTTGAATTGTCAGAAATAAATGGACGTCTACGTACTATTAATTCAGTATCAGCTGTTATTTTATTACTTATTCCAAGTATAACTTCACAACGATAGAAACCAGCATCAGTTTCTTGGATATCATTAATCTGAAAATATTTATGTTTTCGGGTACTTAGAAGCAAATATTATTATAATACTACATACCTGTAATGTGTAACTATCGATATCTTTGTCTTGACTCAATGATAATCTTGAATCTTTAATGATCAGTGAATTTCTATTTGAAAATATAACAGGTTCAATAGATCTTTCTTTGTCAACCTTAACCCACAAAATACTAAATTCTGTAGCATAAAAGACTGTACATGTCAAGTTAACCGTTTCACCAATATCTGTTATACTTTTTTGTGTGATATGTGCTATAATTGGCGTCCTTTGAGAATAAACTAAAATTAAAATTAAATCCCCATTAATAATTAGATTATGTAATATTAAAACATTAACAATGTTAAAATTTATAAATGATATGCTATATGTTCTATTTATATGAATTTAGAATTTATAACACATATAATGTTTACAAATCTTTAAAAATATTTGTAATAGATCTAGCTAAAATAAAAATACTATTATATAAATAATTTAGTAAGAGCACAAAATAAAACACACAATTTGGTATATTTTTATAGCATAGATACTTGCTAATCAGATTTATTATAAGTGCAAGCATTTTTATAGTTAAAATGGTATAAAAGTTTTTCATTAAGATATCAGAAAGTTTTTTATAAAAAAGAATAAAAATGTAAAATCTAAGTGTATTTTTTTATTTTAATTGACTTATTGGTATTATACATGCATATTAATACTAACATTTGCATACATTTTAAACACTAAAAATTAGTTTTTTAAATAGAATAAATATTATTTATTTTAAAAAACTTTTTTCAGTAATATAAAATCTATATCAAACCTATTGCAACTGATTCATATCAATATTTCACTTCAAACTCTACAAAAAATATCAAGCAATTATTATTGATGGATAATAACAATATATAATAAATTATAAAACAAGTGGTAAATAATTATAGTTTAAAATTTGGAATAAATAATTTCCTATTAGAGAATATCGCTAATTTTTTTCTGGTTGAAAAAAAAAGTTGTGTATTTTTGAAAAAGAAAGGGTGAAATCATATTGAAGTATGTAGGAATATGTTATCAGTTATAACAATTAATAAAAATTAATACAAATAAAATTGTGGTATGCTTATGAAGTTAACATTAAATTATACATTTTTATAGATAATCCTTATCTTCATTTACAAATCTCATTCATGTTATATATAAATATATATACATACATATATTAATTGTATATTAAATGTTTAACAACAATTATCTCTTAGATTTCAGACAGAAACAAGTAAAGGTGTTCCAGGATAAGTCGTGTGTGCATATGGTATTATGTTCCTTCTATGGTAATCTTTAAAAAGTAGAAATACTTACTAAGCCAGTTTTTTTAATAAAATTGTCTTTTCTGTTGTAAAATATTAATAAATAACAGAAGATACTTGAAGTTGACTCTAAGTATATTTTATACTAGATGTTTTGATACATCATTTTTAAATATTTTGGCATTTTTAAGCTATTTAGAAACATTTGAAAATTTAATATAGAGCTTCTTAAATATATTTTATAACAATTCAAAATTATTTTAGCATTAAAAATGTATTATCTAATTAAAGATTTGTAATTTTATTTTTTATTTTTATACTTATGGCTTGAAAAATTAGTTATTATAAATTAAGTGGTACTTAATAGAAATACAATTATAATTGTTATATAACATATGCAGTGTTTATGGAAAAAATTAATTTGACCAACTATTTTACTAATAGATAAAATATATAAATAGAAATATAAATTGATTAAAAACTATCATTAAAAATAGAGACTGACAAAGATACTAATTTCAATTAACAACTAAAACATCCATTACTGATTTACTCAATGGAAATTCATACTAAAATATATTATTATATCTATTGATTGTTTACTTTTATTTTTTATGGTTTAATAAGTTTTGAATATTAAAATAAGGATAAAAGGTAAGTACTATACATAAATAACAATTGTAAAAAAAAATTATTTAATATTTGTTAGAATATGTGTAATAGGTATATAAAATTATATATATCTTTAAATTATATAGGTATCTCTATATCTTTTACATGTAAATTAATTTACTATAAATAAGTTTAAATTATGTTGTAATAATTATTTCAAACCATTACTAGTTTTATAGAAGCTATAATAGTAAATTATAACATACTCGTAATATTCATTAATATAATCTGTAATTAAGTAGGTAATGTATCTATATTAAAATAAATATATAATGTGAATAAATTATTTGTAGTTCAATTTTTATCTATAGTTGTTATAATATGTCAACTTATCATAAAATAATTATTATAAAAAACGATATTTTTTTTTAAATGTTATTTAAATAGTATTATGAATTATACCTGTTTATATATTTATCAGTAATTGGTTAAGAATTAAGACTTACATAATGTTCAAAAACTGTAATGTGGTTATTGAACTATTCAAACCTTTATTTTGTCAATGAGATTATTTTTTTAAATGTATAATAAATAAAAATTTCAAACCACTAAGACATTATTATTATTAGACATAGTTATTTTAAGATAAAATTTAGACATTACAAGCATGAATAACTTATTTCAAACAATGTTGGGTAAGTGAGAATTATTAAGTTTCAAAAATGTTAAATATTAAAATATATCCTAATGTCAGGATATTTAGTTGCAACATTCTAATAAAACAATTCAACAAAACAATAAGATAATACAACCTAACAAATTTGAAATCAGTTTCAGCAGATGAAAAGCATATTTAATACCATTGATTATAGAATATACATAGTATATTAGCATTGATTATAGAATATAATCGTATTTTCTATTACAAGTTACCAGTTTTGTTTAATACATTTTGTGTACTTATTATAGTAGGTATGGAAAATTTAGATATGATATCTGATCAGTGTCATATTACTGGGTTTATAATCAATGCTAATACCTATTGTATAATACTAGTAAGGACAAGTACACTGTTATAAACCCAGTAATATGACACTGATCAGATATCATATCTAAATTTTCCATACCTACTATAATAAGTACACAAAATGTATTAAACAAAACTGGTAACTTGTAATAGAAAATACGAGTAATATATGCGTAAATACTATGTATGTTAACTATGCAGGTACAAAAATCAATATAAACATTTTTGTATAGAATGATCAAATCGGTAATCACACACAATATGTTAGTCGATCGAAGTACGAATTGGGCCCTTATTCTACGAGAATGAAATTTATACACACACCGTAATCTAATCGATCGGTACAAGTGCCTGATGAAGTGATGTACATTAACAACGGATTTAAGTTCTGACCATGCACGGATCTGACTTCGATGTTACATCTGTGTTTAACCAGGTCTGGTAAAGTGGTACTCACCAAAGTTGATGCACAACATGAACAAGTAGAAGATTCCATAGACATTCATCTCGGATAATTGAAATAACGGAAATCCTGGTTATTGACAAACACTGAACTGACGAGAAAAAAAATTAGTAATTAAACGTTTTTTACTTCAGTAGAATGCGAAAATGTATAAGATGCTGTTTTGCCGCAATAACAAGGCGGCGGAGATAGTGTGAATTACATCGTCTGGCTAACGTGCGTTTGTCATTTGAACAAGGAGCATCGTTTTTGCATTCGGCATTCGCCAATTTGGAGTTGGTGATTAGGTAGGGGTTCTAAAATGTAACATTCACAGTAATTCATAATGTCACAGTGGCAGTACTGTAATTAAGACATTTAGTAATTTAGTATTAACGTTAATAACGCCTGTAATGATTAAGGAACTAACAACTAACAAGTAACAACTAACGATATATTTAACATCTTCAGACTTTGATTTATAAATCAAACGTCAAGCATTTATTGTTCTGTTCTCGAATCTCGGACCCTCTGAAAATGATTTAACGATATACGATTAGCGATTAAATATTTGGGCGATTGTAAACTCTCCCGATGGTACACTCTCACGGGTCTACTGCAGTACTGACGGAAACATGTAAACTCTCCCGGGTCTAGTAAAAATCATAAAATAAATTTAATATACATTTAAGTTGCGTTTAAAAATAGTCAATCATATATAATAATAATAATAATAACAACAATATAAATTAATGTCTTTAGCTGCTATGAACATGATATTATAGTCAAAATACAAAAAAAAAATAAAATTTCAAAAAATCCAATATACAATTAAGTTTCTTTTAAAAATAGTCGATAATAATAATATAAGTTACAAATACAAAATATACGTAAAAATATTAAAATCATTGTTTTTGATAATAAGAACATACAGATTTAAAAAAGTTAGGGAATCTATTTTTTCTTTATTTTTTGTATAAATATTTTTATTCGATTTATTTTATTTATTGCAACTTTGAATTTTAACATATATTTCAATTTGAAAATCCGTTAGAGCATTAATTAATATAAATAAAGATGGATGAGTACTTGAGAAATATGAATTTAAATGCGAATGGAACGACTCAATATAAAGTTGACCAGGGAAAGTTTACTATTTTTAAAAATCGAGAGAGTTTACCACCGCCCAAATATTTATCGATTTTTACTTAGTACCTAACTGATTAACAACATCATAGTAACTATATACTATAATTTACCTACCTAGTTATAATTTATTATAATTTAAAATTAATTACATATTTGGTCACAGAATATTTTAATTACATGCTCAATAAACTATGTATGCTATTGAATGTTAGCAAAAGATGTTAGAAAGGGTACAAATATCAAAATTATATTATATCTGCATATATTTTTTACTTCAAGCTGATTTTAGGCATATACTCGTAATTTCTGTTATCCATACTATTTCTTAAAATAAATAGGTGTTTGATAATTAAAATAATTTTTTGTTGTAATTTAATGAGAAATATGTAAATTCAAAATATTGATTTAAAAATTTAATTGTGTGTGATGCCATAATTTAATGACTAATATTTTTTTATTTATATATATACTACAACACATTGACCTGTATTTGCATTTTTTCATATTTATTGTATATAACTATGCTTTAAGGTATTATGATTATAATATGGTTTATAGATTAATTAAATATCATCCGAATAGTGTACTTATAAATGTTTAACATTTTATAGTAAAATCATTACTCACAAATTTTTTATCTTTTTTTTTTATGAAATATTCTAGCTATTAGTCATATTAAAAGTTAGTTTTTCTTAAGAAATTTTCCAGCAGCAGAGAAATGCAAGTTGCTGACTAGTTCATAAATAATGTATTTTATTCCAGTTTTAATTTGTTTTGTTTATTTTAAAAATATAGATGTACTGTTGAGGTAACTTCACATTATGTATGTTTTTTGTTTAGAATTTTTCGTTTCACAGTATTTTGTTCTACGTACTATTCACGAAAATATATACAACGAAACAACACGAAACCATATGAAAAACAACGAAACAATATGAAATTCATTTATCGTGTTCTTTAATTTCGTCTATTTACTGTTACGTTCATGAAATAACGCAAAATAGATTTTACGAAAAAAATTTTTGTGAAAACGCTAAACACACTATTCATGAAGTTACACGAAAACGTAAAAATACGAAACGCGAAACATGCATAATGTGGAATGACCTTAACAGTTATCTTTCTACAGACATTAAAAGATATAGGTATCAATAATATTTAATATTTTCCAAACAGCATACTACACCTATCCTTGTACAGTATAATTTTTTAGCATTGAAATAATTAAAAAAAGATTTTTTGAATTACCTGTAGTTACAAAAAGTATTTCATAATTTTATGTATTGGTTTATAATTTTATTTTTATATTTATTATCCATTTTCGGTAATAAAGTTCCAGCCCTCTGTACAATATAAATAAAAATTACTATAATATTTTGTATTTTTTTTTATTATTGTACAATTATAGCCATTATAGGTATTCTTGAGTATACACATAAAATATTAGACTTCAAATATTATGAGTCAAGACTCAATTTTTACTAAGGAAAAATAAACGTTATGATATTGTTCAGATAAGAAAAAAAAAATCAGGGTATTAAATAATTGTATGTAATAGTAAAAGAAAACATACAAAAGAATCATGTGTTACGTTAAATCGGTAGTCAATGACTAAACTCTACATCCGTACACAATGAATTACTGTGATAGTTTTAATAAGAATGTGTAACATCAGCACTAAATACGAATGTATGATTTTAATTATCACTATATTTAATCTACAGTATGACAGCAATACTTATCAACTAAATATATAGAGTGGTGTACTAGTGTCGTCAATTACACAATATCTCAACAATTATGTATTAGTGTAACTAAGAGAATATCAGCGTAAATTTGTTTTTTTTCATACCTATGCTTAACACAGACAACATTTTTAGATAGTCTTAACTTATTACAAAAATGATTGAAAATTAGTTAAATTATCCATCATTACTGAGTTATAGTAGAAAAAATTGAATAATTTAAAAAAATAAATGTATAAATAAACATAAAAATAAATAGTTATATTAATGTAACATTAAAATTTAATATTAAAATAAATTTGAAAAAATAGCATGTACAAAATAATCGACGAAAGAAATTAGTAATAAGTAGGTACAAACACAATTTACACAATCTTGATACAATATTATAAGATTAAGTAAAATGTAATAATAATTAATTATAAAACGAGTTTTAATTATTCTATGTTCAGTACCTATTCAAAGATAGATTGAATATTTTCTATAGTAGGTATGAGTTTCATATCTCAAAAAGGCTATTGCCGATAAACGCAAAATATGAACCAAACGCAACCTAAAAGCGCAAAATAAATATTCTATAAGCACGAAAAAAAATAAATAACCTTTTTAATAAACCATAATCGCAAATAAATTTTACAAAAATAAAGTGTATTTTATAAGTTAGAAATAAGTTTCTACTATCTATATATTGTATAGTTATGTTAAATGATTATCAATCTTCGAGTTTAATTATTAAACTCGATCACTGTTGATATATTTTTAAATTATAAAAATACTATATATTTATTTAAGTAAAATGAATAATTTAATTTAATAATTAATAATTTTAAAATGAAACTGATAGTGTAACGGTTACAATATTTATTTTTGCGTTTTTATGACACTACTAATGTACAAAAGCGCAAAATGAATTTGCGCTTTTGGGTTTCACTGCTCAAAACACTAAGTTTTAATGTGTATGAAGTCGCAATAACATTATTATTTATTATCTACTAACACCAAAATAATAGAGTGTGTTAAAATTACAAATATAAACATGAATAGATAAGTAATACTGGTAATAGGTAGGTATTAAACAGTTATATTATTTTACATTTCATCAGCCGAATTTACTTTGTAAGTTTAGTCAATTTTAATTTTAAAATTGAACATGATAAAAAATCCTAGAAAAAATAATTTAGGAAATTATAATACCTAAGATAAATAATATGGGCAAGTGAATACCGTTTTGTAGTATATAAGGTTTCCTTGTGTATCACTGTAATGGATGTGTTAAATTTGAATTGATTCTAAGCGGAAACGGTCTTATATCACTATGAGTAAATTTCGCAATATATATGTATATATATTTTTTGATATAGTTATTAAAGTAATTTACTTTATTTAAAGTCTAATATTATGAAATATATATATATGTATTATAAAAGTTTCGAAAATATAGTATTTATTATGTTATTATAGTAAACATGTATTATATTTGCTTACATGACTTAAAATTTAATACCATCTTATGATATTTTCTGATAAGTAAATAAAAACTTATAAGAAACTTTTTATTAGGTACATTTTTAAATTGTTTGACCTTTTCTAAATTTTTATTGACATTTAATTAAGAAAGTTGAAAATTTAAAATGTCTTAAAATAGCTCAAAAGAGTTCAAATACTTTAATTATGTATAAAAATAAAATAATAAATATTTAGGAAAAATTTTTGTTTTGAATTATAATACAATGTGAATGTACAATGTTGTGAAAAATTGAACTTAAACACTCTTAAAACATTTTTCGTAATCCCAATTTGTCAATTTGATCTGGAATTCAACTATCAACTTAATCTATAATAATGTTTCTAAGTAAGGAACCTTTTGATGAATGTGAACAAAGTAAATGTTGTGATTGAGACATTAGTTAAATATTTCAATGAGAATTATTTGTCTTTCATGCATTAAAGTATAATTACTTATTTTTAACTTAATAGTAATACTTTATTTTAATGTTTTATGATATGTATTAAAAGTCATGTTATATATTAATGTTATACGTAGCAATTCAAGTATTTAAAATTTAAATAAACCATAAAATTGTTAAAATTGTTAAATACAAAATCATGTTTATATAATTAAGCGATCAATTTCATTGCACAGGCAGCTGTTAATGTCAATTTAGCTATTTAATTAGTTAGCTATTAAAAACTTTCTTTATTTAAACCCAAACTTATAAACTTATAAACTTATTATACGTTACTGTGTTATCTGTACTGTTTTGTCAATGATCAAAAATAAATTAATAATACACATAAATAATATAAAAATTTAATTTAAATCCAATTCAAGATTTATAATTTGAAACTTGAAACATAGAACAAATTATAGATACAATATTATTCAAAAATGGAAAAGTACAGACAACAAAGTAAATAAAACAGAATAATTGTTTAATATTATATATTAAATTATCTTACTAGTCACTTTACAATAGTGCAGAATGTCTGATGTCATAGTTTTAATATATTGATTGAATTGTATTGCAACTGTTAATTATTTTCCTAGGAGTTGTGATAAACTAATGTAGATCTTTGTCATTAACAGTGTACCATTTGGTAGTTTCCACCTTGAATTTTAATTTATTGATCTCAATGTTAAAAGGTTCCAATTAACTGTTCCAAATTGCATTGTGTGTTGATCTATGATCTATCAACAAAAGTAAATACAATATTGATTATTTTAAGACAAATAAATAATCATAGATAGATCACAGTTGTTAAATAATACAATATTTAAACAAAGCACAAGTCAAATTGTAAGAACAAAATAAAAATTTCTAAGTATAATAATAATGTATAAGCCTTGTACAAAGGTGCATGAAGCTCAGTGACTCTAAAATTTGCTGTATTTCAGATTTTTTGATATATAGCTTTTTCATTATCTTTTTTCCTAGACCAAAGCTTTTGCGATTTGTTAACATTTGTGTTGTTGTTTTTGAAAAAATCTTATGGCTCTTTAAAATAGTAAATCATAAAGTGACTAATACTATTTGGAACATTCGATAGGTTTCAGGTTTGCAAATAGTCAATTATAATATTAAATTCTTGAAGTGGGAAACAACTTTTATGTTTGTAATAAGTTTTAGCAAGATTTTTAAGTGTTTTCTAATGGTAATAAACAGGGCTCGGTATTTTATGCATTTAAAATCATAAAATATGCATATGCATAATAAAATATCATAACATATATTTATTTTTAATTAAAAAAGACATACTTGTACAAATTAAATTGAAATATGAAGTCACACAATTTATTAGTGCCTTATCGGAATTATTTCAGACAAAATCATGAGATTAAATTAATTTAGAATGAACAATGTATATTATATTAATATATTTGTTTTCTAAATAACATTTTAATAACACATCAAAAAGGAAAATTTTACATTCATATTTTTTATAAAAAATAAATAAACATATTATAGAATATGCAATAAAAAAAAAAAAAAAACAAATCTTTGCAATATGCATATGAAGAAAAAAACTTAAAATATACAAAACTAGGCAATAAAAAATTTTGAATTTGAAATCCTTATATCAAAAAACAAATATGCATACAATCTGATTTCTTCTATTTCCTGAACAAATATGCAAATGCATAAAGTTCAGAGCCCTGGTAATAAGTAATAAGTAATAACTATTCATATTGTAGTACAAAACATATTTGAGTTTTTAGTACCATACAATTATGGTGAAATCCTTGAGTCTATAACCAATCCAATAGTATTTAGTGGAAATCAGCTCTAATTCGATTGATGTCAGAAATGATTACTATCCCATATTGCTATCTTTGACTATAATATCATTTTAACTATAAAATAACTAATATAAGAATGGTACCTTAATTATCTATAAATAACTAACGTGCATTATGTTTAATGTATATACATGAACGTTCAGTGATCTGCTGCAAGTGACTGCCACAATCAGAAATAATGGTGAAGTCTCATGCAGATTGTAATCCATCTTTAGCTCTGTGTCGATTTAACAGTACATCACCACAGCACTGTTTCATCGTCGTTATAGTACTGCAAATGTGTTCGTCTCCAAAAAGCTCGGGTGGTGACAAATGAGTGTCAGACATGTTATTAATTTATTATGTAATAAAAAGTACAATTTTCACGGTGGTTAATTTGTATTTTCGACACAATAGCAAGCTGAAACATACAGACTACCGACGCAACCTGTAGTTGGGCCTGTAGGCTGTTTGTTGAGTTTGTTCATTATTGCTATTTTGCTAACATGTAACGACGAAGTTAGATATGAAAACATTGAAAACTTGTTTAGTTGATGAGCCGATATCTCGCGTACTTGTTGTCTATTATGATGTCACTCTCTCGTTATCGTCTCAAATGGAAATAATATTTGTTATTGATAAAAAAAATGTGATTAAGTTATCTTTTTTCTTATCTATATATTCATGATTCCAGTCCAGTCGTGTCTATTGTAAACGACTGAATTTTGTAACTAATCGTAAATCTATGAATATTATTATGTAACAAATCTGTTATAAGGAATAACTAAAATATATTTTTTTATTAGGTATACAAAGATAAATCGGATTTTTGCTATTTTATATTTATTTTTATTTTATCCTTTACATCTTTGACAATATTTTTTAATATGTGGAGTAATTTGGAAAAAAACAATAAACCTGAAGGTAAGTGAACAATTTAAAATTTACACTTTACATTAACCATAACGATTTTATTCAAGACAATGTATAAAATTCCATTATCTTATTAACATAAGTAGTTGATTGACTATACCAGATTTTTATATTTTCTTTGAATCGATTAACTATTAATGCTAAATAAAGTTCATGTGTAAAAATTAAAAATGAGACACTTACTTATTAGTTAATATAGTTTTTGATTTTTAAAAACATTTATATTAAAATATAATGTACTATTATGTATTATTGAAATTTAAAGTGACGATTATAAACTCTATGACCTCATAAACCTAAGTAGGTACTTTATCAATTCTACTAAAATGGCTTTTTTACCTATAAATAATTTATTGACTGTGTTAACTATCATAACTATCAACTCTGCTGAATCTTTTTTTTATTTTGATTCTGCTGCTTCGTACCTATATTATTATACATATTAATCAAAAATTGTAGCTTATTCACACTCTAAAATATATACTCAGTTTACCTTCATTAAATCCAGAAGAAATGAGTGAGTTTTATCAAAGATTTTATGTAAATTATGCTAATAAAATCTGTAATTATATATGTGATAAATGATAATAAAGTACATTGTTAAAAATTTTTAATTTAATCTGTAAATATAGGCTCTGTCACACATATTAATATAATCGAAACAAACAACTAACAGTTGTGAATCATTACATTCATTCAAAACTTAGCTGCACACAATTCTCTAAAGCAAATTGTAATGTACTAATGTATTTTTGTTTTCATGTGTATTGAATTTAAAAATATAAACTGATTCATTAACAATAATAATACATAACTTATTTTGATAACAAAAAGATCAATTTGACTAAAACCAAAAATTATGAAATGAAAAAAATTATTAACAGTTATTAAAATAAAAATAATAGAATCAATTAAACTGATACATCAAATCATTATTAAAAAAAAAAAAAAAAAATTTAATTTTGTAAATATAAAATCCCTTATTGATAGTTATATTATGTTGTTTGTTTATTATATTTTATTTATTATTTAATATTTTGTTATTGTTTTCTGATGTTTTTCTACTATACTGCGTATGTGTAGGTAACATTCCCCAAAATTAAAGATAAAACTGAATAAATAATTCATATTTAATTTTAATGTTTTATAATATTAATATAGACCTAGACTAAAACCCCCTCTAAAAATATTTCCTACCTACGCTTATGCTATACTGTATATCTATATAGAGTCAATAACCAGTAAACAACATAATATACATATGTCCGAAAGAATTGTTATAAAACAATTTAGATAGACATTGTTTAACCTTTATGTTTATAAATATAACAGACAACTTTAACTGTATATTTTGTAAATTATTTATAATTGCATTTTTTTCCAAATACAATCATTAATATTTAATATATACAGTGGATTCCGCTTAATGTGGCCACCGGTTAATATGGGCATCCGCTTATTGTGGGCAAACATGTCTGGTCCCAATACAAATGTATATTAACAATGTCAAATAAAACCGCATAATATGGACACTCGATTCGGTTTATGTGGGCAATTTATTTTTATCATAGCGTTAGAATATACACATAAGTATTTAAAAACGATTAATTTAATCGGGTTCCGTCGTATCTATGAGATTGTGTTTATCGAAAGTAATAAAAATCATTACCATTCAAATAAACAAATTTCGCCAAAGAGAGGCGAAAAAGTGCATTGATTTCTTGCAGAAGTTTTTCATGCAAGAGGGAAACGAAAATAGTCCGTCTGATAAACTTGAAGCGTGTGCCTATTTTGTCAACCAGATCCATACTAAACAGCTTAGACAACGAAAAATTACAACGTTTTGTATAACTTCTACATCCAAAGATTAATTTTATTTAATATATTATATGTATTTAGTTTTATTTATATATCTAGTAATTATTTAAAAATTTTTTCAATTATATGATAATACAAATATATTTTTTTATTATAATTTTTTTTTTTTTTTACTAATTTCGGTTTTTATGGGCAACCGCTTAATATGGGCAAACAGGGCTGGTCCCAACGTGCCCACATTAAGCGGAATTCACTGTATATAAGTTGCATGAATAATCACTAAACATTTATTAAATCAATGGTGTGTGTTAATGGTTTTTTAAAGTAAATGGTCTACAGATTGGTGTAAAACATGAATATGATCTCTTATTACAATTGAATTAGACACCTATTTAAAATATTTTTATTTTTTTTTAGATGTTGTAGCTGGAGAACAAAGTCTTACATATAAGCATTTATTAAATAGTCATACAAAAAGATTAGAAAAAATACATATATTAAAAAATGCTCTTTTTATTTTTAAGTCTCCAATAAATATAAAGGTAAGATTTTTAGTTTTAATAAAATTATTTTATTATTTTATAATTATAAATTACATATTGATGTACAGTAATTTGTAGGTATCAAATATTAAATTAAAAATTTGAAATTTGTGAGTAAAATACTTGTCAATTAATACTAGATGCATACTTGTTATTTAATTTTCTGTAATAGTTCATATTTATTTTTATTTAAGAATTTTAAAATATGCTTGAATAATTAGAGAAAATTTATAAATTGTATCATAAAGTTATAAAATATAATAGCTTAAATAATATAATTACAGTTTTTATTAATAGTTAATTTATAAATTTAAGTTAAAAATAAGTGAATAAGCTATTTGTTAAAAATTTTATATTATACATCATAGTTGTTTATAATATCCATGAGCTAAGTGCACCTATTTTATACAATATCATGTTTAATAAAGAATTAAATTTGATTGAATCACATTTTTATGTTAAAATTAATGTTAACATGCAATGCAAATATGCACTAGTGGAATCAATTATTGAATAAAAAAAAAACATAATTTTAGCTATATGTATAGTGTACTATACAAATATACTCTATAATATATTTTAATATATACTTGGAAATATTTTTTAATGATTCAGGTTGATGTTACTGACAAAGTAACAATTGATGATTTATTGGACATTGATAATAATGTTCTGAGTACTATATTGAAGATTTTTGCAACATTAAGCTCTGAAATTTTTTTTTTAAAAAATGATGTTAAAGTCAAATTATTTAATTCTATACTTTATTATGAAGAATGTGGTATGAATAATAAAATACAATAAAAAATAAAACTTTTATTGAACATTATTATTTTTTTAGATGAAGATGTATTTAGTGAGGGATTAATACCAGTTAAAATTAGCAAATTTCTACAAATTTTATTAGAACTTTCAAATTTTGTAAAGCATTGTGAATATTTGCTCAGTGAAATACATTGTCAATTTGTCAAAATTTTTGAGTTTCAGCTAATAACTGCTGATATTCATTTTCAGGTAAAAATAACTGTTTTATGTTAGTTAATTTGTCATAATATTTAACTACTTTTAATATATTTGTCAACATAGTTGACGAACAGTCAGAAACACCATTTTGTTCTACAAGCATGCCTTATAATGTCACTTTTTTCATTACTGCTATAGCAGTAATGCTATAATACACCTAAATTTTGATGTACATATGCCAAAATTATTAAATTACTGCTATTGCTGTATCATAATTTTTTATTGATTTTTTTCGATTTTTTCGCTTTATTTTTATTAAAACGCAAAATAAATCTTTAATTTAATTACATTAGTACTTTGTTGATATTATGATAAATAATAAAATAATACATTAATCTTAGCAAAATAAACAAATAACAAAATTGGTTCATTCAATTATCTTTACTATCAGTCATTTTAATTTTTATATAGAACATGAATAGTATAATAAACAGCAGTAACTAATAACTATTACATATTTACGTCTAACAAGCCGAAAATAACTGGTAAATATTGCCACACGCCCATAAAGCAAAATGTTGTTGATATTCAATAAATATTATTGGAATTACCTATGTGAATTTGTAAATAAAATTGAAATAATTATCTATAAAAATTTGCTTTAATTCAACAGTACCCGAATGCGCAATATGCTTAATGTGGACAACACAACTTCGTTTTTCATAAAAAAAATTATAGGAATTATCACTGCTATTGCAGTATGCCACTTTTAAGAAGGGTTTTAGAGTAGGTGCTGTTACAGCAGTAAAATTGATCGTGCTAAATTAGTTATTGCATATTCAAATCAAGATTATAAACTACATATTTTAGTATTTTAAATGGGTCACAGACAATGATGTATAGATTAATCTTTTAATCTATTTGTACCAAGATCATTGTGTTAAAGATCTATTGGCTTATAATAACTCCTATTTAAATAACAACTTTTGCTTAAATTAATTAATTTATTTTATACACAATTCAAGGTTATGGAGATTTATATCTTATTATATTATTATGTCAAACATGAAATCTTTTATAATTTATCTGACCTATCAAGATTTTTCAAAACATGAGCTTAATTTATATCTGGTAGACAATTTAAATGTTTAATGCAATACTTATTTTCAGTTAAATGCAAGCTTATTCATTGACTGAACTGAATTAAAAATAAATGATAAATTATTAGAATAGCAGGAAAAAAATGGTAACACTACTATGAATATTGCATTATACTTACTAATAAATAATAGGGCAGTGAATTATTTTTAATCCTAGTGTATTTTTTTAAAATTTAC